GCTGGTCGTCTATGATTCGTACGAGTGGCCCAACACTGTTCGGCGGCGTGGGGCATGGTGGGTGGGTCATCTCCCTTATCCTGCGTTGTCACCTGCCTCTTCTCCTCCCCTCCTCCTTTCGTTTCGTTTCATTTTGATGCTCACTCCTCTCCGTGCTCCTGCTCTCTGGTCCGCGAGTCATCGCTGGGGTTGGTTGGCGAGGGGCTCCGATGGCGTCGCGCCACGGTGAGTCGGTTAAGGGGGCTCTCCTCGGTTCTCTCATCTTTTCTGCATTTGATCTATCGTGGCTGGCCAGTTTTAGATCTTGGGTGTCTATTATTTGCAGATCCGTTGTTCTCCTCTTTGCTAGGCCTGGATCTGCTGCGTCGCTCGTCTATCTGTGGTAAGTCTTCCTTTTATCCCGGTTACTATCGTCTGCTTCGGCTGAGGTGTGCTTTTGACATTTCGGAGGGTTGTTCTATTTTCTGTAGCTGCTCCTGCTTAGTCTCGTCGCATGTTCTTCGATGGGTTTGTGCTGGTCTTCATAGCATGCTCCAAGGAACTAAAGGTCCACTCCACTCTTCCTTTTTCTTTGTTTTTAGGCTTTTTCCTATTCTTTAATTGATTGTTTGGCGTCTGTGTTCATGTGTTGTTTAGCTTGATATGATATGCAATTCAGAAGGGTGTGTTCATCTTCTGTTATGCTCATGGTGGTATGCCTGCCGTTAGGGTAGGTGTGCACGGTGTCAGATCGGGCTATGTTACGAACCAGTGCATGTCTTTGTTTCCAGGTGTATTTTAGTTGTCCTTGGTTTTGTCGTGTTTGCTTGCAGATGGGTGATAGGTGTGTGTCTTTTGCTGCTTCTTTGGATCTTGCTAGGGCCGGGGTTTTACCTTTGTGTGCCCATGGCTTGGTAGGGTTGTGGTCAGGAAGGCATGGGTGCATGTGGGCATGTGCCTTTTGGGTTTGTCTGCTGCATGGTGTCCCATGTGTATCGACCTGTTGTGTCTGGATTGGTCCAATGTCCTTCTGAAAAAAGAAGGAGAAGAGTGGCATCTTCATTGTCTTTTGTTGGTCAATGTGGTCTGACTAGGTTAATATAACTTGGTCCTGCCTTCTTTTAGTTCATTGTTGTTTATGTTGAGCCCTATTGAGGATTGTATAGCTCATATAATTGATTTGGAGTTAATTGGCTTGGTCCTGCCTTGTTTTTAGTTCGTTGTCGTTTATGTTCAGCCCTATTGAAGGTTGTATGGCTCGTATCATTGATTCGGAAGAGAGTGTTTGGTATGGGTTGGGTGGAGTGTGTTTGCAGCTGTTTTTTAGGTCCATTTTCATATTTATTTGTTATGTTGCTTCTTTGTTTTGGTCATTGCCTTTGTGAATGGTTTGCCTGTCTTTTACTCTCTGTTTTGCAGGTTGTTTTGGTCTACAAGTTATTTCTTCGAGCCGGCCGTGTTGCTGAGCCTTGTTACCTGGTGGTGGTGGTGTTTGCTTCGCACGGTAAGCTATACCCAAATTGATTTCCTGTTGTTGGTTTAAGATTAATTCTTGATGTCCTTCATTACATATGCTCATGCATTTGTCCCTTTGTATGGTATGCGTTGGTATTTTCTCGGTTTTCCTTAATGTCTCACTGTTACAGGCTTGTTTATCATGCGTTCTTCTTGTGTGCCTCTGTCTGAGGTTGTTGCGACCTACTGTCGATTGCCGTTTGATACGTCTCCAATGTATCTATAATTTATGAAGCATTCATGCTATATTACTATGTGTTTTGAATGATTACGGGCTTTATTAGACACTTTTATATTACTTTTGGGACTAACCTATTAACCGGAGGCCCAGCCCATATTGCTGTTTTATTGCCTGTTTCAGTATTTCGAAGAAAAGGAATATCAAACGGAGTCCAAACGGAATTAAACCTTCGGCAGCGTGATTTTTTGGAAGAATATGATCCTGGAGACTTGGAGTCCACGTCAGGAGATCCTCGAGGAGACCATGAGATAGGAGGGTGCCCCCCCTACTGGGCGCACCCCCTGTCTCGTGGGCACCTCGAGCACCCCCCCAATCGACTTCTTTCGCCTATATAAGCCTACGTACCCTAAAAACATCGAATATCAAGATAGATCGGGAGTTCCGCCGCCGCAAGCCTCTGTAGCCACCAAAAACCTCTCGGGAGTCCGTTCCGGCACCCTGCCGGAGGGGGAACCCATCACCGGTGGCCATCTTCATCATCCCGGCGCTCTCCATGACGAGGGGGGAGTAGTTCACCCTTGGGACTGAGGGTATGTACCAGTAGCTATGTGTTTGATCTCTCTCTCTCGTGTTCTCTCTATGGCACGATCTTGATATATCGCGAGCTTTGTTATTATAGTTGGATCTTATGATGTTTCTCCCCCTCTACTCTCTTGTGATGAATTGAGTTTCCCTCTTGAAGTTATCTTATCGGATTGAGTCTTTGATTTGAGAACACTTGATGTATGTCTTGCCGTGTTTATCTGTGGTGACAATGGGATATCGCGTGCCACTTGATGTATGTTTTGGCG